ATGAAAATTGGTCCAGCAGATCTCGAGTTATAAGTGTAGGAACACTTTTCACAACCCTCTTTTATATATATAGATATATGTAGATATATATATTTACACACATATTATATATTGGTATTATTGCATAGATCATATACATATATATATACGAATTCCCTAGCCAAGCATTTATGCTCATTAATTGAATATCTCTGATAATGCCTCACATGTAAAACTCCTTGGCAACGGCTTACACACCCATTTTATTTATTCGGCTACTTGTAATATTTAATAAGAATGTCTCAATTGGTTAGGGACACACACACGCACACACAGAGACTATGCCTATGTGCTCCTGAGTTCAGGCAATCACAATTTATATTTTCTTGTGCAGCAAGAACTCTGCAGTTCCTCCCGCCTCTGGTCCACACGTGCGTTGTAGCCCTCTCGACTCGAACTACATAAATAAGCGAGCGACAAAAGATGCTCGAGGGGCCCTCACATCCGACGCGAGGCGGTACGATGCGAGGCGCAGAAACTTTTCCAATTTTCCCCTTTTTATCGTAAATTACGCACAATTCAATATTTGGCCTTTTTACTGTCGCTGGTTTTGTGTCCCCGTTGCCCTTTTTCTGCTTGACTAGCTCCCAACATCGACTGGGGCGGCTGATAGTAGTGCTGGCGGAGTGAGGTATTTGTGTGCGATTTCTTTTCTTGTTTTATGCCATTTTGATATTTTTTGTGTGTTTCTTTATCGTAAATAAGAAATCTCATACGTGCGTCTTCTGCCTAGACCTTTCATATATCAGCCCACTGCCACTGGCCCCCCACTTTCACTCCCACTTCAACTCTACCCCGCCATCTCATCGCATTATGTATGGGTAAGGAAAAGTTTGTTTTAGTTTGGTTTCTTTAATCGAAATTGCCCAATGTGCCCACTAACTGTAAGGACTGTTTTTCTATGCGTCTTAATTTATATTTAGGCATTATTTAGATTGGAATTCGACTAGAAAGAAGTTTCCACAACTTATTGCATTGCCTGGGCTGGCAATTGAGTAGCCTAATATATAGTCCGATTAAAGTCAATGCTGATGTAAGTAACATTTTGTTGTCTAGTATACACCTTCTGATCAACATTCAATGCAGACCTATCCATACAATGCGGATTCCATAGTCAAATGGGTAACCCGACATTGTCATTCATTTCTTCCCCTTATCCTACTCGCCTCTTTATAATCGATCTACTCACATTCAATTTTTATCATACACTCCGTAAGCTGTAATCAAATTCTGTGTCGCTTACCATCTTTCTTCCTGTCTTAAAAATGACATCTATTGCATTTTATGTCAAGTCATAAGAATAACGTCAGCTACACCTCGTATACTTATTAATTCCATTTTCAGCTTTAATTGCAGGCCCTCTCGCAATGGTGTCCATAAAAATTGCCTTGGCTGCAGCAGCTGCAGCTGGCGATGCCATTAAAGCGCATTGTCGTTGCTATAGGCAGTTCACGGTGGGCGCCGCCACTCCCCCGCCACGCTCTAGCGCACTACATGGCCATAAAAGCATTTATGTAATTGCTGTTATCGACAAGCGCCCATCCAAATGGCCTCGTTGTTCCGACTGTAAACGGGCCTTTAATACACTTTTGATTGGATTGTCGCACAAGTTAATTGAACGCCGCGGCGCAGCGAAAGCTACGCTCTAAGCCACTAGGTCCGCCATTTGGGATCCATGTAACGGCAGCTATATTCGAAACTAGTTGGCAGTAGCCTAAAAGCCCAAACAAGCGCTGGCAGCTCAATGGAGCGCATCGACGAATCGCAGATTCATGCAAGCTCATTAGGCCACAGTTCATATGAGGGCAAGACCATACCCCCCAAAGAGCGATTGCTCCGCTGTCAATCGGTCCATTACTGTATAGTACTCTATAAGCTCAGAGTCCACTCCGAATGGCCCCATCGACAGATATCGAAGCCGACAACGGTGAAAGTCGTGCTACATCGTGTCTGCTGAACAGTTTTGCCTGAATGCTTCATCGAATTTTTATCTTTTGTTGGCTAATGCGCTAGCAAATTGTTTGAGAATGACCCGCGTAAATTTCATTTCTACTTGATTTACTGTAAATTGTATTGCAGACAACACACAGCGCACAGAAAGAAAAGGAAAACGAAAACCAAAGATAAACCGAGCATGCCATATAAATGGATAGCAAATGTGGCAGACTTTTATAAATTGTTCGGGGCAAACTAATGTTTGATTTGCTATGCATTCGATGGGTTTGGCTAAATGGCAATTGATTCGTATGATTTGCCATTCGAGCAGCTCAGAGCCACTCTCTCTACTATTGTGAATGTCATATGCAGATAGGTTGATCAGTTGCTACTTACCCTTCTGATAGCTCATGATTTCAAGGCTGTTCTGAGCACATAAAGAGAAGCTGACTTCCGCTTAAATCAAGCTCTGTAAAGATAAATTGAAAGCATAAACTATATAATTTAACAGTATCAACTAACAGGCTAAGCCTAGATATTAATCTTTGGCGTATCTTGATTGTATTGTAGTATTGTGACTCTTTTGCTACTTCAGCAAACATTTCTTTGCATTCACGTATTTATCTTTTAGATATACATAAGCGAAGCCCGCATCAAGCTGGAAGTGAGCGAATGACCGAGCCGCGTCGAGTAAACAAGTTCAAGTTTTACCGGCGTTGGCTTTGTTAATTGCAACCTGAAACATTTTCATTAAATTGAGGCAAGCCCCAACTATGAGGTGCGTCGTCAGACCAACCAGCTTAGCAGTGAAGTAGTTTTGAAAATTCATTTCATTCATTTGACTTCAAATATTTAGAGATTGGCTCTCATGATGCTATCAGATCTACCAGATTAGAAAGTTGTGAATTAAAACTTGATGGCCCTCCTATTTGTAAATGGATGCCTATAATATTTGGTATAAATACTAAATACATGAAAAAGGACTATGACATCAATCAAACGAGTATGCAGATGCCTTTTAGTCATTGCCGAATGGTATGAAACATTAAGTTGGGAGTTAATGACTCCGCTGTTGCTGGCCATCTTCATAGCTCGCACACAAAGACAACAGAGCCAGATAGTTGCGAGCCTCATTTTCAGGCAGAACTTTGCAGAATTTGAGATCTCAAATGCTGCAGAGTTTATAAAATTAACGTTGTCATGGCGTTCAAGCAGCCAGCGTTGCCATTGCCCTCGCCTCTTTCCCCACCTGCCGTCCCTTCTGTCACCACTTGTCATGCTTCAAAACATCCTTTGAGCTCTCGCTGCGCATTTGTATGCGTTTTGCCTGATTTATGTGTAAGTATGCCAATATGTGTGTGTGAGTGTGTGTGTGTTTACGTCTCTGTCGTGTTGGCATTTGTCGTTACAAACTTAATTAATGTTATGCTGCCACCGCCACAGAGCTGCCCTTGTCCTCCAGGCTCTTGACTTTTGTCGAGCGCCGCAAAAACTGCAGGCGGTTGACACTGCGCCACTGTCAGTTTCAGCTGACGTTTGGTGTTTCCCACCCGTACCCCCGTCCACCCCTCGTATACCAGCACTCGTTCCGGTCCGACGTTTTGCATGTGATTAGGCGAAGTCTGTGTTGGAGTTTCACTAGAGTCCTACTCCTTCTCCCTCGTTCTCTCTCTTTCTCTCTCTCACTCTCGGTGTGAATGCTGCAAAAATGATGCTCAGCTTTTGGAAAATTGTGTGTTTCTGTTGACATTTGGCAAAATCGCATTGGCAGCATTATCCTTATTGGCATAATCAGCGTTTGGCATTCAGCTTGTTTGCTCTAAGGTTTTGGCTGCTTATTTGCTTAGCCGCTGGCTGCTGGCTGGTGGCTCAGCCCGATGATTAGCGCTTCACTCTCGCTAGCTCAAGTTAGGGACAAGTGCTGGCCCAACTCCATATTAAATTGTCTGTGAGCCGTGCGCTGTTTAAATTTGCACAAATACGTGCTGCATTTTTCTATTCGTGGACGGGTCGAGAGCTATCGCATTTGTGGTATAGTTGGTGGAGGGGCGAAAGGGATCCAGACCAAAATACCGACTTTACTTTGTGCAGCAGGGCGTGAATCGGAGCGAGGTGAGGCCGGGGCACACAAATGCAACGTCTGAGCAGAAGGCCCACAAAAACACAAAAAGAAGCGAACCTGAGCTGCACGAACACTTTATTTGTTTATAGCGCAAATGGCGGCACAAAAAGCGCAACACAGCTGCCGGCTAAAAGGCATCGCAGCCAGCGGAGGCAGCGAATGCAGCCAAAGAGCAAGCACCTCCTGCCAGGGCTCTTGTGTGTACTTGTGCGCGCATTGTCAATACTCCTGTATAGAAAGGGGGCGTGCGAGGGCTTGCCAGGGCAGCCAACGCAGCTTATGTGATGTGATTTGTAAAGGTGTGTGTGGGTGTGTGTATGAGTGTGAGTGTGCACACATGTAAGTATGGTCTATTGTCTGTCTGTCATGTGTTCGGCTCGTGCAGTCGTAATCAGTTTGCCCTGCCGTAAATTATGTAAAATGTGAAAAGGATTTGTTGCGCTTTGTCCTGCGTAGAAGTAAAACGGCATGTGATAATGCTGAGAATCCGTCCCATATAACATCTGATATCATATGTAATTCCAAAAACCGTGACAAGCTTAGTCATCATAATAAGATCCCGAGCGCCATTAATAAACAGATGATAAAGAATTCTTAGATATGATTTCATGATTTTTAACCAAGAAATATCAGTTCAACTGTGGCGATCTAATATGGCCACTATTTTCATAATATACTAATACTTTCATGATTAGACATAATATCTATATCTATATCTATATCTATATCTATATCTATATCTATATCTATATCTATAT